ATTTTTAAATTTACATCATTAATTCTATAATTCTAGCCATTAAATGATTACATTACTAACTTTTGAATAATTTAAAAATTAACTCCATAAGAAAAATGAATTATACAATAATCAATAATAAATTTTTATACTGAAATACCTGTAATTTAAAAATTAACATTGCCATTATGATGATAATTTTTGTAATATTTAATAAAATAAACTATAAATTAAAAATATAATTCAAACTATGACGACAAATTTTTTTTATTTTTGATGCAAAGTTTATTTTATCTTCTTCATTAAACATTCTCCTTTAAAAACAGATTCTAAAACACTAAGACGTAAATAAATGACTTAATTTTTAGAAACGTACTCATATCAGCTTGAAAAATGTTTGCAAACATCAGTAAATAAATCTTTGGCATTCTGCTCACTAATCAAATGTGTACATGTTTGATTAGCGAATGTATTTTTGTGCTCGCTTGTAGAACATTAATCAAATAAGACATTTCCTAACTTTTTATTCAATCAATTTTTAAAAATCAATTTAATTAGGAAGGATTAGAATAATGTCTATTATTAAGCATAATGTTTAATCCATACAGCAGTAATTTATTTTATGTAAAGCAATCAGGATTTTAAATTTTATTTTTATTATCGAGCTTATCACATTAACAAGTAAGACTACTTTGAATGAATTTAATGTCGGATACAAGAAGAGAAGTGAAATTAGTTTTGTAAAACAATAAATATTTAAATTGAGTATCTAAAAAAATTTCTTAACGTATAGGAAGTCATATATTAAATATTTATATTGTACTTTATTCAATATATTTTATAAAACTGAAAAAGTAAATGCAATATTTTATTTTTCATAAAAAGTTTTTTAAAGAAAATAAATAACATATGTAAAATTCCTAAAAAATTACTTAACAAAAATCTATTTAAAATGCTTCAAACAAATTGAAATTATTTAAAATATTAAGACTATATTTTTTACAAATACGTTCAATAATTCTACTATCATCTTTGAGCATATGGAATTCGTTTTTAAATTTCAAATTGTGCTTTGAAATTTAAAAATACATTATTCATATTTCAGTACAATTGTACTATACTTTTTAGTCAATATAAAATGTAAGAAACATTACTAATCAATTTTTCTTTAAGGTTTTGTTCTGTTAGTCTGAACATCTTTGTAGATGTCTGTACTTGTTAATAACAAACTAATCAATTTCTAACAAAACAAAATAATCATGATAAGAAGTAGAAAAAAATTCTGATATACTAATTTATTCCTTCTTTTCCTACTGATCTTGTCAAAAAATATCACTGTTAAAAAATTAATCAATAAAATCTAACATATACTTTTGTCTTATTATTATATAGAAAAACTTAAAATATCAGAATTATAAATAACTGAGATTTTTTAAAGTTTTTTAAATATTTTTTGTTAGAAGTTTAAAAATAAACACAAACAAATATTTTCAATACGTATGTATATTATATAAATATAAGATAGTACATAATAGAGATAATAAAATTAAATATTTATATATATTATACATACAGTATATTATATATATAATATACTGTATGTATAATATACTGTATATATATTATACATACAGTATATTATATATATAATATACTGTATGTATAATATACTNGTAAAGCTACTTGTAAAAATTTTAAAGATCCAAGATAAAATAATACCAAAAGGTTTTGCATAATCAAATGTATAAAAAATGGCATTTAAAATAAAAATACAAATGAATATTTTATGCTATTATCAATAATATGAAAGTTTCTTAAAATTAAAAATATTTTAACATTTTTCTAATACATCTATGATAAAAATTACATTTCTTTAAAAACAGTTTAAAAATAAGAAACTATGAATCATGACAACACACCGGGGAGTAAATGATAAAAAATGGACTTGATTCGTTTTTGAAGATCCAGTTGATTTACCTGATGAATAACCCAGAAAGGATTAAGAAAATGTTTGGATTTATAACAGTAATCATATTACACACCAGTTAAAGATTCAAGTGAGTCCATTTTTTAAATAAGAAACTAATAATTGATCACAACACAGTACATAGAGCCAATATAAAATTTTTAAATCTTGGAAAAGTATTTTAAAAGCTTCTTAGAACTTTAATTTTTTTATATATGTCATTTCACTTCAAATATCAATATATAAAGACTTTTTAAAAAGGAATTCTAATTTCTATGTAAGATTTAACTGCAGGAAACTAATGTATAACAATTATATAATGTTGTATTTTTTAAATTTCTTATATAACTATCATTAAAATAAAAACTTACATAAGAAATTTAAAATATTTACATTTAAATCTTATGCAGCAGTAAAACAAAGATTTTTACGTAATCATTTAAAATCTAATCTTGCCATATATTCAGTTATAATTATATTCATCTACATGTGATAAAGCCAAAAATCTGTTTTCTAGCATCTGTTTTCTAGTAATATTGAAAAGCAGGTCTCTGCTTTACTTCAAATTCACTTTACAGTACTACAAATTTAGTATGTAAAATAATAATATGAAAATAGAACATTTAGTATGAATGTTTTAATCCATAAAGCACAATTCTACAAAAAACTGAAAAAATAAACCTTCATATATGTTTTTAATTGGGCAACATAGAGCTATTGCAACACACCCATCCATTGGGAAAACGACTAAGCATTGATAATCATTTAATCTCTTGAGAAATCTTCTATCTAATGGAGTAATCTATATTTTCCAAAAATAACTTAATTCATGATCCAATTGAATGAGATTTGCTAGGAAAAAGTCAATTTTTATTAAATCCAGGACATCTATCAAACCATTCTTATAATGTTTGCTTTATAATCTGATATAGTAGAATATCAGTGATATGTTCATGATCAGTTTTCAATCAAAACTGTATTAATGGATTTTCTTACAACTTTCAAAATAACTTCTTAAAACATTGGCTAAAGTTTTTAGTCATTTGATCATTAAAAAAAAAAACAAAAAAACTGAATATCAAAGTACAAATGCTTTCTTTGAATATTTCCAATTTAATTTTTCTTGAAAAATGAAAATATATTTGCTTTTCTTATTAAAATCATTCTTCTATTATAAAAATTTTACCATCCATAAATAAAATTGTTAATAGTTTTTATGGCATATAAACTTATTTTCCAAAATAATTCCATCTTAATCTCATATCTTTAAATAATTTTAAGAAAAAAAATAATTTTTGGGCCTTAACAAAAACAACATTTAAGCATTTAAAACTCTAAATAAAACATTTTAAAGGCCAAGTGATTTATAAAAATTGTAATAATTCTGTAAGTCTGATAGTTTTCTTTCTCAAATCATTTAATTAAAAAAAATACCACTTAGAGTATATTGTATTATATAATAAAATTTATGACACAGGAATAATTACACAATAAAAACTTTTATTAATACTGTACTTGGCTATTTAATGAATATGGTACAGGTAACCCCCATATAACACAGCACTTCTATAGCACGGATTCATTCTAACACAGTTCGAGAATTGGGAACATCCCCATATAACATGGTGCTTTTATAGCACGGGTTCACTATAACACAGTTTGGGAATTGGGTAAAACCCTCGTACAACATAAAATATAATAAAGTGAAAAGAATAATTACAAATTTTTATCAGTTTTATTTATTTATTTATCTACAATTGGAAACATCAAAAATGATTGGTTTCTGCCCACAATTAAACACAATAAAGAAAAAAACCCAATGTTGAATGTTTTATTAACATTCAACAAGAATAAAAAAACAAGTTAAAAATAACATGTGGAGGAAAAAATAACAATTGCATTATATATTATAAAGAATGGATTTACATTTAGTTTTATAAAAGTTAAAATTGCAATATAAATACTGTTTTACCGGTAATATATGAGAAGCTATGCAATCAAAAATTTATATACAGGGTGTGCAAAAGTAGGTACTGTATACAGTTGTTATTATTGAAAAAAACGATTTATTTTTTTATACAAATTAAATCAGAAATAAAGAATATGAACTAATAAAAGATAATAAAAATAATAATAATGAACACCAAACATTTGTATTTCTCAGATTCTCAACTGTATACCTACTTTTTCACCCCTGTATTTTTAATATAATTTTAAATACAGTACCATCTTTGTTCAATACCATCTTTGGCAAATACAAAAGGTTAAGAATAATTTTTCTTAATCTTTTATAATAGATTTAAAAAGAATCAGTTCCTTTGATTTTTTTTTTACTCAAAGGGGCATAGTCTACAGCTCGAATAAGGTCCCACCCGCCTCATTGGCCTGCAATTTGAAATAAACCGTAAGCCTATAAATTCCCACCGTCATCCAATGTCTGTCCTCCCTTCATCATGAATACAAAGTTAGATAGATGAAAGTCGAGACCAGATAGGGCCAGTAGGAACAGATTAACTATACGCGAACTTCCGGTCTCCACCGGAAATCACGTTATTTCAATTCAAAAATATCATCCTGAACAGAGAGACCAGCACGACTCTATTGATAACAGGGAAAGCATGATATACAGGGGCAAGATACTTAAAAAGATCGTGACGAAAAATTGCAGAACAGCATTGTGACGATGTCACAATAAATAATTGTTCGTTCAGAGGTACAGTACATTTGTACCGCAAATTACCTACAAATTAACTGATATTTACAATCTCCGTTAAGTAAATTATACGTAAAAAAGAATATTTCTACAATTTCGGAAAGTAGAAAAAATAACGAAGATAAAAAAATATAAATTCTCTTAACATTTAAATGCACTTCCTACGATTTGGCTCGCAATGATTGACTTATTTCTCCCGGGAACGGGGATTTGTTTGCTCTCGACCTAACTATACGGGTCTGTCAAATCCGAGTAATTAATTTATTATTCTTTCAAATGAAACGCGATTATACGTTATTTATAATAACCGGTATAAAATATTAACAAAATAACGAATCTTACCAAAAGAGAGAATCGTAAAGAACTACATATTACGTTCTTGAAGCATTCATCTCGATTCGTTTCCCTCGTAAACAACTTCTAACAACAAACGGCGCCATCTTGCTACGCCTTAGAGCCCTCTAGTGTTAATGTGTACTGAATACACATTATAAATATGATAAATATATATACTGCATACAGCAGTGTTTTTCAACCTGTGGGTCGCGACCCCCAGGGGGGTCGCAAAGCCTTACACGGGGGGTCGCGGGTATAACAAAAAGACAAGTAGTTTGTAGGTCCTACACTACAATAAAAAAAACTACAATTTCAGTGAGAAGGCTATGCCTGTTTCTTTTAAAGTACAATTGGTTTTCCGATCGATATTTAGGTCTCAACAGAAAGAAAATTAAATAAGTAGTTTTTTAAATCACTGACATAGTTTTAATATGGCCCTGGGGGTCGCCAGAATTTTTTTCACTTGTAAAGGGGTCGCGTATTGAAGAAGATTGAAAAACACTGGCATAAAGTATATATATTTATCATATTTAGAGAATATTACAATTACTTTAATAGTGTAAAGATAAGAACAACGATTCTTTAATAGCGACTTTTCTACATCTAGATTATATTAAACAGATAAAATCAAAGGAATAAAAACGATAAATCAAATATTAGTCTATCATTAAATTAAATCTTTTAACGGCCGGTCGGTAGAGAGGTTAAGGTGGCAATCCATCGCTCTGGGGAAAGCGGATCGAATGCGTCAATAAATCCCAAAAATTTTTCTGGTATGGTCTGTTTCCCGCCAGCCTTGCCGATCTCATAATGGCCTTGCTGAAAAATTCCCTTTTAGTCCCTACAGACGGAAAAAGATAGAAGAAAATATTGTCGAAAAATTGGACTGAAAGGTGAAAAGACTGGAAAAAAAACTCTCCATGCCTCAATCTTAACTTTTCTTAATGGCTTCCATAGCCGTAGCTCAGGGATACCTAGACTATTTCGGTTTTGCGAAAACGCATAAGAATACGAAAGGGATCAAGGTCGGTGACTGAGAAATGCAAAGGGTCTACATATATGGTTGAAAAAAGCCTGCAGGAATTCTTAGCAAATCAACCTTTTTTTATAACTCTTTCCGCTCTGAGGGCACTAAGAGGTTCTCTTTTGGAAGCCAATTATGGGTTTATGCCGCTCCATTGTGGGCCTGGCCCACAATGGAGCGCCCGGGTGGTGAGGAACGGGGCCCGACATATCCGAACGGGAATTATTTGACCCGTCCGGATTCGACCCGGATCCCCCAAAGCAGTAGGCTGCCACCCTGACCGCTCGGCCATCCTGCCAAACAAGCTAACCGGAGAGCAATAACTTCGTGATAAAAAATCCACAAAGCCTGGAAACTGAACTGGAAAAAGTTTTAAAAAAATCAAAATTTCCAGTTTTCATTTTTGCGGCGAGTTTTAACGATGTATTTTCTGTGGCTTAAAGAATTGCGTTTTTGTCAACATTTGATCGGTCGATTCTGATAAAACTTTGCCATTTTTCATTAATTGCGACGAGTAATCCAAAAATATAAAGTAATTTAAAATAAATAGGATTCCATGACGTCGTTTTCAAGATAAAGTAACATCAAAGTAACAACGTGCCTGGCTCTGGCGCAATTTAGGGGAAAAAATAAAAAGAAAATGCTGTAGACAGCATTACGCCTACAGTGCCTTATGAGATAAGCGCAAAAAACGAACAAAACAATCGACACCGATTGCTTTATTCTTGAATCGCCTCTCCGTGGAAAAATGCGAGAATCGCTTGTTCATGCCTGGCAAATGTAAATATCGCCTCTTCCGCATCCAGCAGGAAAATCCACTTTCCGGTTCCGCCACAATTCTAATGCAATACAACAAAGTCGAGAGATGTTCTTAGTTTTTATTAATTGTGCTTTGATTTAAGTAATGTTTAAAATTTTGGAAAATTTCAAATATAAATAAAAATCAATAATAAAGTTTTACATATTTTTTTTAAAATTCTGCGACCTGTAACCACTATAGATTGTCTATGGATGACGGCGAATGGCCGAGCGATTAAGATGGCAGCTTACCGCTCTGGGGACGTGCGATTCTGCTAAATATCCAGATAGCATAACGCGCTGATTGGTCAGCTGAATGACGTCAACCCACCGAAGTATCGATTATATTTTGTGATCGTCAGAACGATTCATGACGAAATAGTGCTGGGCGATTACCTAAAAAATGAAAATCGATTACAGAAATCGATTAGGATATGATAACCGATTATCAATCGATTATCACACCTTTAATAACAACAGTGTTTATTAAATTAGTAAAACACTATTATTTTTAATAATACAGTACTTTTTCTTTGTAGAAAAGGGCTGGCAGAATTACAATTTAATAAAAGGTAAAATACATCTGGATACAAATCCAATTTTGCTTGCCATGTCCAATCACCAGGAACAACTATTTCCATTGCAGAGACAACCTTTCTTTAGAGGCTGAAATAGTTTCTTTAGAGAATGGAAATACTTGTTCCTGGTGATTGGACATGGCAAGCAAAATTGGACTTGTATCCAGATGTATTTTACTTTTTATTAAATACAGTACTTGTTAACAAAAAGACCACTCACAGGTTTCACATTTTTATAGAACATTTATTAATTTGTAATTGCAAATTTACAGAATATTACAAAACAAACTACAGTTGACCCCTCTATAACATGGGTTCCTATAGTTCGGATTCCTATATGACGGCGAAAAAATTGCGAAGGTATCCATACAAACATGGTAAAAAAACTCCTATAATTCGGTAAAACTTCATCGGGCAGCCAAACTACTTTCCGCTGTCCAGCGCCACGCTACGGAGAGTTTAGGCGGGTAAATTGAGTTTACTATCGTCTGTACAGTATTATATATAAATTACAGTAGACCCCCTATAACGCTTAGATACGTTCCACGCTAACCGAAAATTACGTTGTAGGAATGATTAAATACATGAGCCAATCGCAGCCCGATAGGTGGGAACTTTACGGACTAAGGCTGTTTGAAAGGTTTTCTTCTATAAAATTAACCGATTCTAGACTAATTCCACTCAACATTTCCAAAACACGTATAATTTTTTGGGAATAATCCGTATAAACTACGCTATAAACAAAAAATTATAGGATTACTTACCGAGTG